CAGATTACCCACTTACAGTACACTTAGTTCTATTTATTTTTAGACATATATGAAAGATTAAGGATAGAGAAAATGGGATGAATCAAAACAAAACAAAGAGAGAACGAAAAACTAAAGAAAATGAAAGGTTAAAAAGACATATGGGGACAATGATCTCGAGTTCATCTTTTCTTCTATACTTTCTTTGTACATGGAGATTGCTCACACCACCACGAGTAACTAATCTTCCTATTTGTTGGGATTGAATGTAATCTATTAAACTTTTATGACATCATTTTGATATATATATAATATTTTATTATTTAGTGCTAGTGATTTGAATTCGTTATTAATACTTGAGGTAAATTGATCACTCACCTTTTGATTTACGATTTAAATTTTGATTGAAAAATATTTTCTAAATTTGTTTTGAAACAAACCACCTAATGATTCTAAACGTCAAAAATAGACTTAAAATCATTAGTTGAACAAATTATTGAACTTAATGCAAAGACTTTGATTTAGTAAATTGAATAATTGGGTATTTAAATTGGTATCCTTAGAATTTTTAAAGACAGTGAATTGATTTATAATGACTTTAAAATATTCATTAATACCAGTGATAAAAATCATATGTACATAATATTAAGAGAACATAAGAGTAAGATAGGTAAAATTCAATCCCACAAAAATTTTCACTATTTTCCTTTCAAATTTGCACATGTTTTCTATTAATAGTTTACTTACCAATTCAATGTTAAAACTTCCAAACAATATGTTTATATTCAATTGTAAATTTTTCTTTTACAAGTTTTAATTAGGATATTAAAATTTACAAAATATCTTCCAAGACATGTAGAATCAACAACTCGTGCTTTAAAATTATATTACAGCACACATGATATTTTACCACAGAATCTCAAACTACATCAAAATTAGCTTATCATTTATTTATTTGTTTATACAACTTAAATATGTTTTTAGTCTATATAAAATGCGCATATTTTGATTTTGTTCCCTAACTTTTTTTTTTCTTTGTATACAACCCTTTAAAATTCAAAACTATTGTCTTAGTCCTTATTATTATGTGATTTTTTTAAACTTGTACATTAGAAGGTTATGCAACTATTTTAACTCACAATTGTGTGTGATACATTAGGAACAAATAATAATTTTAAATTTTAGATAGATAAAAATAAAAGATAAATATTTTACAAGAATCAAAATCAAGAAAAAAAAATATATATATATATATAAACACCGGAAATCACGCTTTGTGAGCGTAAATTATTTTTTATTTGTCGATTTTGAGATATTACATTTTCATGTTCATGAAAAAAATACTGCTCATGTATTAAAACAAAGATAATATTTTATCCTTAAAGTCTAAACACCAAAAAAATCGTTTGGCCTTTTTTTCTTCTCAATCGGTTAATTTAAAATAAAAATAAACCGCTATATATTAAATTTAAATGTCTATCTTGCACAATAATATTTTTAGTTTTTTTTTTAATGAGAGAGTTTGTAAGAATTTTTTTAACTTTTTATCTAATTCGGTTATTATTTTTCATAATTGTTTTTGAACTAGATATTAATATTTTAAAATATATTATCAATAAATAAAAATATTTTTTTTGTTACAATACACATTATTAAAAATATTATTTATATATTTAAAAATATATATGTATATTAATTTTAAATGTAACTTATATATTCAAACATAGTATCTGTACTGACCGCATTTCGCACCCGGGCTCTCAGCCCGGGTTGACATTATAAGGGTCATCCCGGACACGCGTTGAACAACGTCAGCCCGGAATCCGGACAGACCACGCCCGAGCCCGGAGATCTCGTCCCAGGCCAAAACCGTTCTCCCGTTATGCCATATTATGTCACAACGTGATCATATCATATGAGAGGATATCGTATCATATCATATCTTATCTCAGGCCCAAGACAACACTAACTGACACAAAGGTATGTGCATTACATATATACGAGACTCATACTCATACAAACCCTAACTTTAGCATCGGAGTCTCTTTTGCAGGTACCTCCCCCATCTCGAAGCACCAATCCACCCAGAGAAGGAGGCTCATCAATCTTACCCGGCGGATCAGCTCTACAGCAGATTTCCGATAAGAACATTTGGCGCCTACCGTGGGGCCGATCAGACCAAGCTCTCATCGACCACCTGCATGGTTTCTACCAGAAGCCATATTAGATGAGCAACAGATAACACGAGCAACTCAACTACCATGGACAGCGATACCGCGACCCTGAGGCGTTTGGTCGAACAAGTCGAGCAGATGCGGCGACAGCACGACGCCGACCTCCAGAATAAGCGTGCCCAGCACGAGAATGACCTCGCGGCGATGCGCACCGCTAACGAAGCAGACCTAGCGGCGCTACGCGTCGAGAACGAGCGCATCCGCGCCCAGCTCCCTCGGCATCGCCCCGGCCAGCCACCGCACGACAGCGGTGATCATGAGGAGGAGGCGCATTCAGCCCCCCATTCCCAAGCAACCACCA